TTGCATGTTTTTGTACAAATTATGAATCAGATATGAATATGAAATGTTAATGGTATTGTATGAGCATAGTTATTGTGAGAGGATGGGAGTTTACGCTAGAGTTGTTAGAAAATATTGTATGAAATTCATATGGTACATTGGTATCATGGAGGCCTCAACGCACATCTCTCTCATTTGAAAGTCCTAATACTATTTGAGATAGATTGGGCATACAATACCTCAAATATTCGAGAAAAGGAGGGAATTTGTGGTCCATAATAAGTAAAGGCACTTTTAACTGAGGTTGCCTCTTGTGATTGGTGAGCTTCGACTAGTCCAATCACATGAACTTGGTCATGATGTATTGTTAGCCTATAAATTCATTCAGAGGAAATAAGAAGGATATAAGATGGAGAATATTGATCATGAATTGTATGAATTGTTATATGATATTATGTGTTTGATAAGTATCCAATCCTTGAATCACCCCTGTGGTTATATTTTACAGGTGAAGGCATCGTTAAGGGCAAAGGGAAGCAAGACACTATTGAGGGTCTTAAGAGCTAGTTTGTATAGCTCACTTTACTTATCTCATCAAACTCCTCACTTTCATATTCATTGGACTCCACCAACAACACATCATAGAACTCTACAATACTAATTGATTGAACTTTTTACTTTTTAAGTCATTAAACTCCTTATGACATAACAAACATTGAAATTCATTTGCAAATCACATCATTGAACTCCAAATGAAGACACATCATTGAAATTCATGTTGAAAAAAATGTTATTTTTAATATCTTATAATGCGAAGTAAGTATTTTATTAATTATTTCTTTAATTTTTTGATGTGCTAGATGCCTCAATTTTATTAAGATATAATCAAAGTTTAAATTTTTTAAAAAATATTAAATTTTGATTGTTACCAATCTTGTATTAGAACATAAAAGAACTCCCACATCTAAAAATTAGAAGATAGATCATAAATATATAAGTTTAGGATGTATCTAACTAAATGGCTTAAGTATCTATCTTCTAATTTTTAGATGTTAGACTTCTTTTATATTCTAATATTCTCTCTACTATTTTTTTTTTCACCTTTTTCTTCTTCTTTTTGCTTGGGCTTATACTTTTTTTTTTTAGTTTCAAAGGTCTTAGGTCTATTCAATTTTTTTTTCTTCTTCTTTTTTGAATCTCTTGTTTTTTTTTTCAACTTTCATTCTTTCATTATTTTCCTTTCTTTTTTTTCCTCTCTTTTTTTTTGTCCTTGATCAAATGGTTCTTGATATCATGTTAGGTTGCTTAAGGATACTATACTCCACAAAATAGCTTAAGCCATTTAGTCAGATACATCTTAAACTTATATTTTTATGATTTATCCTCTAATATTTAGATATGAGAATTTTTTTATGTTCTAATATCCTGTAGATGTTCCTTTTTCTTTAATTTATTATCTCGATCCTCTATTTGGAGATATGCCAATAGAGCGGTTTAATATGTTGAGGTTATTTAATAAGTAAGTATTTATCTTTATAAGAATCATATTACACACACAAACACACTCCCATCAATTATCATTGATTAATTTTTCTTTGTTTTGATAGGGCATAAACCATTTTTTTGGGTCAAAAGTAGCTCCCCTTTTCTACAAATAAAGGCTTCTCAAAGAGTTGTGAATAGACAAAGATCATGGTATATTTATACTTGGAAGATTTTATTGAATATTTATAAAAATTATTTGCTTCATAAATTCACATTACCTTTTGGTATTTTCTTAGTGGCCTTTCCAACCAAATGATAACAATTGTAGTCACTGCATTATAAAATTCATGAAGGATGTGATCACTCATGGTCAAATGTGTAGTGGGGATTCTCTTCTAAATAAGAATGATCCAACTAAAGCGCGCACACAAGATGCTAATGAGTACTATCCAATGTTAATGAGTGAGCATGACCATTTTGATCCAGGCACTATAAAAAGATAGTGGATTAGCAATGGAAAATTCCGTCGCTAAATGGGTTAGCGATGGAATTAGCGATATAATAATTCCATCGATAAAAACATCATCACTAATTCGTTAGCGACTTAATTTAAAATTCTGTCGCTAATTAGTGAGGAATTAGTGATGGAAAATTTTCGTCACTAGACAAGGATAAGTTATTCCAATTATGTGATGGAATGCGTTCCATCGCTAAATCCATCTCAAATGAAAACACACCACATATTAACTTGAAATAATTTCAAATGTGCCTTGGCCAAGTTTGAATCCATAACCTTACACCTTCGTGAGTCTTTGCATCGAACCTTCTTGCCAGTTGAGTTAAAGGAGATATTTAGTCTTTAATTGATAAATTAAATATATAATATTTAACCACCAAACACACGTGCATACATACATACATACATAGATACACACATATCAATAAATATATAATTTAAATATGTTTATTTTATTTAACATTATTTTTATTTATCAATAAAATAAATTGATTTTTTATATAATACTTGTTTTATATTATATTATAATTTTAAAAAATTATTTTTGATAAAAATTTAATATTAAAATGCACAAATACTTTATTATCACTATATATTTTATTATAAATTTTATAATATATAGCATTTTATATTTGTAAATTATTTTTAAATATTTTTATTTTTAAATAACACTAATTAGGTATGTTACTATGTTATCAAAAAACCATAAATATATAATTTAAATTATTATAATTATTATTAATATCTAAATAATTTAAAATATTAAATTATTATTATTAAATTATTTATTTATAGTATAATAATAAATTGTTAAATAAATTATATATAAATATGTATTATAAATCATATGATAAAATTTAAAACAATTAGCAATGGAATTATGATAAAAAGATTTGCGATGGAATTTTTTGTCACAAATGCTATCACAAAATGAGAATAACATATCCTGAAAATTAGTGATAGGCATTTCCATCAAAAAATTCTATTGTTAAATTATTTCTGACGGTTTACCGATAGAATAGTAATAGAATTTGTAGCGACGAAATGTTTCATCACTAAACTTCATCGACAAAATTATTTTTAACAGTTTAGTGATGAAATAGTGACTTCTTTTTTAGCGATGGAATATCCTATCGCTAAATTCTATCAGTAAATTAGCAACGGATTTGTGATGGAATAAATTTTCATTGCTAAATCTCGTCATTAATTTGCTGTTTCTTTGTAGTAAGGAGAGAACTCAGGTGGTTCTAGTAAATCACTGTGGAGCTAGGTTGGTAGAAAGGAAAGACATGTAAAATTTGAACGAGCTTGAATTCCGCATGTGAGGATATGTTATTCGGTGATAGCAAGTGAGATCATGTTTTTGTTTATGTAGTTTCTTGATACTTCTCTTTTTGTTTAAGTATCCATACAAAAGAAGACAGAATTCACAGCAGCGATGCACATGGAGAGGGGGATTGAATTATGAACTTACTGCAAACTGTCGTTCTGTTGATTCCTTTTGTCGTTTGGATATGCACACTTCAAAGTTACTCTCTCCGTTTTTTATTGCTAGAAAAACTATTACTTTTCACTTGTATTTATTTGATAAGCAAAATTACTCATTTTAATAAGCATTTATTATATATTTCTTCAAACACCTCTCATGATTTATATTAACAAAAATAATTAATACAAGAGCATATTGATTAACACAGGACATTTTAATATAATTTTTTTATTTTCATACATAATTATTATAGTTAAATAACTTTTTAACTGTGTGATAATTTTTTTTTATATATATAAAAACGGAGGCAGTATAAAGGCATCAAATTGAGTGATTTGCACATTAATTAAACCAATCACACGAAATCTAGCTTTCACTGTCAGACCATCGGCCACTACATAGGCTCCTAGAAATTAATTAAGGATCTCTAAGATTTGCGGCCGGACGTTGTTATTATTAGTCGAAAAAAATGACACCTAATAATCATGGCACCTTGTATAGAGTTGGAAAAGCTAACACTATAATTTACATAATAACAAGGTTTATATTTTATACTGATTTGATATTGATAATGTTGATTGATCACATACTTCCTCCGGCACTCGCAGCATTGCCTTGCTAATTCGACTACTTGCAACATATTGAGTCTCCTCAGAATATCAACTGATAGTGAATTGAATATTCGCTCTGTATGCCTCTTGATTTTGTTGTTTTAAAAGGAAGCGTGCACTTCTCATAAATCAGTTTCTGACCCTTCATTCACAGAAAACCTTTTTTTATCATCTCGAGGACTCTTGATTAATCAACTAATTAGCACCTTTAATAACTTTTATATTTCTATATATATCCCTTCTCTTCTAAATATAATTAAAGAGCATTAAAGTAAAATTTTAAGAATTAAAACCAACATTATCTAGGGAGAATGACAAGTAATTAAGGACCTTTGAAGAATATTAATGCTAAATCAATAACTTTAGAACTAAAACATGATAAAATAAGTATTTAAATTTGAGAATATTAGTGTTGAAAAGTCTTAATTTAACATTAATGTTTTTACAAGGTTCTTATTTGTCATTCTCCTTATTATCTATATATTTGTGCGTATTTTTACATGGATATATAATACACTATATATTTTGGTGATGAGAAGAGAGTGATTGATCAAAAGAAACTATATATAAACTTCTTACAAGCAAACTCGCATAGTAGGACAAGAAATTCATGATAGTACAAATAATACTTTCCTTTCTACTACATGCAAGAAGAGATTATTTTTTAAAATACAAAAGACAAATTAGTGACAGCATCTTAATTTCATTTTGCATGCATATATATGACAGAATTATAGAAAGTCTGAAAGGAAAATGCCTTGCATGCATGGTCTAACATGCCAGAAAACGCACGTAGTGCCTAGCTAGCTAATGCAGATCAACGAAACACACATGTATGCAGCTGAAGTCACACACACACACACACACGCATACAAACACACAATTACACCCCCCCCCAACCACACACAGAGGTGACAGAAATAACTAAGCTCTTAGGTTTTTATCTCTCGGTGAGGAGCAAGCCCAGCACCACAGCTGAAATATGGGGGTGTAGGTTTGGTGAAGTGAGCTTTTGATCCTGCGGTCAAAGAATATTCAGCGTTTGGAGGACTCTGGTCTGCCACGTGAAACTTCGTTTTCATATTTTTGTTGTCTTCTTCAAATCTTCGATGACCAACCCCAGGACTGTTTCCTGGCGTTGTAGGTCGATGAGCATTCACTTGATCATCTCCATTTGAATCTTCATAGACATCATTCACGTCGTCCTTTGTTGTGAAGACTGAGTTAACAGCCTTCTCTGCTGCAGGCAGAGCAGTGTCTTCGTTCTTCTTTAATGCCTTTATCTGCCTTCCCTGAGTTATAACAATTACATGGCAAGCCATTACTAGAACAACAACAACAACTAAATATTTGTGCATGGCCTGAAATTGACCCATATATAACAATAGATTTTGAAAGCAAAGTTAAAGTTTTTGTTTTGTAGAGAGGGATACTAGATATAGAAAGGTGTAAGGAAACAGGAAAATGCGTGAATGAGGATGAAGTGAAGTGGGTTAGTGAGAAGTTCCAGGATCTTAGGGCTTTTATACTCTTGGTTGAGGATCCATGCTCTGTTTAGATTCAAATAAATTAAGTTCTCAGTTTAATAATTCACATTTGACTAAAGGGGCTTAATTGACGGATAGTCTGGGGAGGTGTAATGGGCGGTGTACATTAAAGATATTACTATTTTTAATTTGTATTTAGTTCTTTCATTTAATTCATCTCTTTTTTAAAGAATTAATAACATAAATAAAATACCAAAAATTTTGTTCTTCTAATCAACCTCACCAATTCCAACACGTAGAGTGCAAGCTCTTTCTTTCTTCACTGTTTTCTGTGAAAAAAATTTAGTTGAATTGGACTTCAAAAACTCACCAACCTTAAGGCCATATATATGTGAATTGTTGTTCAGTTTTGACTTAGATTAGTCTCTCACGTGAGGGAATGCGTTCCCTTTATTATATGCAATCAGTATATTTCATTTTCTGTATTTCTTCTGATCTACACCTCTTCTTCCTTTGCAATTGTATGTCTTCCATTCTTTTGTTTGCATAATTGATGTCTAAGCACCTGATACATTCACATATGAAAATCGTGAAAAAGTGACAAGTAGGTTGAGAGTTGTTGATATGGAATAGTGAGAACGGAAGCTGGAAGCTTACATGAATTTGACTACATAATGACCTCTCATGGTGTGGAGAAGTCCTTGACGAAATCATGGAGAAGAAGGGCAGCTCGATGACTGGCGAATCATATAAAATGGACCCAGAAATTTACATGAAGATTCTGTCCTGTTGCTTCTCCACTTACAGAAGTATAAAACTACTTTAGTGTATAAGTGAATGGTATCTGTTCAATCTCAGATATCTTTATAATTTCTTCGTGGAAAATTATTCAAGATGAAACATATCTGTCTTTGTTCTGTAATCTGTACAATCCAATATCTTTTGGTTACAATTTTAAAATTAATGAGTTTCATGATCATTATTGCGTGGCCGCAAGCTCAAAGGCAAGGAAAAAGATTCCTATATCTAAGGGTACGGTTCTCCCGTAATCATATATTTGATTTGCTTCAAGATTTGGTACTGCACTGCATTCATGGTTTATTTGACTGGGCGTTACAGAAAATCAAAAGATTGTTATGGTCGTCTTCATATTCACCAGCCGTTACTCTGGTAGGACCCAAACCCCATATTTGGTGGTTCACACTATTTTCCTAATATTTATTTGAGTTGAAACATTGGTAACCTTCCAAGTTTACTCTTCAGATCAACTAATGCTTAACTTCACCGACTAGCTAGTATGTTTACACCCCGTTTCACTCTACTTCTCATTTTATTAATCATGGAACAAAGGATGGTGGGAAATATATTTGGTTTGAAATTAAAGTTACGTACAGAGAAAGCAATATACATATAGGTGTGCATACGTGCACGAAGGAATCAGTTAGTGGTATATTATATTACTTATTATGATTACAAAAGGATGGTTTATAAGAGAGGCCAAATTTGACCAAGTTTTATTAGTCATAATGCCAAAGATATGGACTTTAAAAATATCTATGCATCTCTTGCTCAATTTCTCGTGTGTATCCAGGGTTAACTTTTGTATGGTAAGCTTATATAGGCCTTCATCTTTTTAATTGTTGTTGGATGTGTGATTTCTATTTTTCATTGTTTATTATCTTTTTTTAGCTGGTGTCTCCTTTTCCAGCTTATATATGGTTGTTTCCGTGTGCCTACTGTGAACATGCATATTCATTTTTAAGCTTAATTTTATCTTGTGAGACTTTACACATTAACTCAAGCCTACTCATGCTTATTAACAATTTATTCAACAAGACGAATTCGTGAGATATTTTTTTGGTGTCAAGCATATAATTGATTTAATTTCCCGATTTTATATAATGTACAGATAAATTGATCTTATTGTTTGGGAAACAGATTTCTTTCTCTCATTGAATGAATCAATACGCACACACACGGAAGTTAATTCTTTACCCGACGTCTCTTATTTAATAGCGCCCGCTATATATCGCAAATATTTTTGGAGGAAAAAAAAATGCCATAACGCATGCACATTCGATTTAATTTGCCCCAGTGATTGCCAAGACAACAAAAGAATGTGCCCCAGTTGATCAAGATAATGATGAAGGATCAAACAAAAGTGAAGTCAAAGGCGACATGACCACCTGATTTGTGTAGATTCCCAGGGCCTACCACTTTAATTAAATAGAGTTCTAGGTGAGATATATGACATAATTTGATTAGCTCCATTTATTATTGGGCAAATGATCGATGTGGTAACTGGTATGCAGGTTATTAATTACAGGAATGTCTCAAAATAGTTAATGTGATCATTAACGTTGTGATTCGATGAAAAGGACAATAAAGATTCTTCATCTTGAACTAAAAATCTGATTTTATGAACACCGTGCGTGCACTACTGCGGTACAGCCTAACACTTCACTTTTGGCATTACAAATATATAAACAACATGAGCAACCAATAGCACTACCATTAATTAATATCTTATCGTCGTATTTTTATTAATTTTTTATGTATTTTTTTAGTCGAGAATAGACCTAAAATGAGGGTTCCACAATCCCAGGAGCCAACCTTCTGCAAGATTCTCCATTAATTTACTTTGAAATCGGTGCATGATTAGCGGCCATATAGTGAAGCTTGGCACCATATGCAAGATTCTCCACGACTATAGGCTCATCATTATAGAAATTTATCTCTCGCATATGGGACTGACTGACAGGCTTAAGTGGTAGGGCACGGGGACACACAAACATGTGGTCATGTCTCATTTGACTTTACTTCTGTTTCATCCTTCATTATACGGTCTTCGTATGTTTTTAATAAAGGCATGTTCATTTTGTTGTTTAAGGGAAGAAAACAATAAAAAGTGCCACTTAATTAGTTTCAAAAAAATTAACGTCAAAATATTTATATATATTCAAATAATTCTTTTTGGATATTGAATTCTTTTAAGAGTCCTTTATTGATATTCTTCTTTTAAAAAACATCTTTTATTTTTACCCCTATGTTAGTTAATGTGATTTGAATAGTTGTGAATAGGAAATTATATATATTAGTTATGGACAAGGGTAAAATTAAAAAAAAACAATTAATTTTTCATGAGAATTTTTAAAAAATAAATTTTCTTACATGTATTAGGTTGTTTATGTTTTGAACCAATATTAATTGAGGAGAAATACTTATATTTTGATGGAATAGTAATTATAAGGCACTTGATGGAATAGTAATTATTTTTTTTGATATTACTAATATTTAAAATCATTAATTATGAGAGAGAATATAATGTAAATTTAAAAATTTTCATTTAAATGAGGGTGAAACTAAAAATTTATGCTATTTTCAAACTGATTTAATAATTTAATCATCTCTTATTGATTTTGATGAAGTAGTTAGTTATATCTTACAATAAATGCTAGAGGGTGAGAGGGAGTAGAATTTCAGCAGATTTTGGATATGTAAATTCCGAAAATCAGTTGTAAATTCACTTGTAATTAAATGGGAAAACTGAAAAGTACCGACGAACTGATAAAATGGGCTAATTGATCGTTGGGCCAGACTCAAAGGCCTTGATTCTCCCCACCTTGGAAGGTTACTATGATTTATGATGTCAAGGATGATTTAAGCTGCAAGCTTCCACCAATCAATTAACAATTCTTTGTCCTCTTGAGTCGTGAGTTTTGATATTCTTATTTGATGACAAATCCAGTGAGAATTTAAAAAAAAAAAAAAGGGCACGCAATGGCAACATAGATAGTGCAGATAAAGAAATATATAATATAATACACTAATCAATCATCGAGGTAAATAAAAAAAAAAATTACTTCCGTTGGAGACCAGTGGAAGTGAAAGCTAGCTATATTTCACAATAAAAGGTTAACAATTGCAAGTGAACGAGCTCCTCGTACATAGTCAAATGACATAATTGTCTATGACATAGAGCCTTAACATCACTTAGATAAACTATTCAACCATTAAAACACAAATATAAATACGCTAATATACCAGAACTTCTCTCTTCATCTGGATTATTCCCTACACCCAAATAAAACTTGAAAGCTTGTTTTGAATTCTCTAGTAAGGGGTGAATGTCTGGCCATGCGGAAATATTTAGTAGTTGTGGTCGTCGTGGTTGCCGGCCATGAAGTTGTTATGACTCACGGAAGGCAAGCAAAGAAATTGAACCAACGTTTCTCGGCGGAGAAAGACAGTGTTGCTCATATTTCGTCAGAGATGGTGGCGAATCAAAACGTTGTTGATGCTGATTACGTACGTAAGTGTTTTCAGACCCATGCGTGGAAGAGTTTGGAGAAGTCCCACACTCCCACCCTACATGAGACAGAACAGTAATGAAGAGGCATGATTTTTAGGGAGTCAGTTAGGTATAATTAATTGATTTTGTGAGAAACTTGACTAAACTCATCAATTTCGTTATGCAGTTATTTTGGTAATTATCAATTGATTTTATCTTATGTGAAACTTTCTATATCAAGTCAAAGTTCACTTTCACTTTTGGACATATGTACACGTGTTGAATTTCATGTCTCATTCTTCTCATTTTATTTATTTTATATCAAATGTATCCATATATAATAAAGATTAATCATGTCAACCTAGTAGTGCTGCCAAGATATGATCATAAGGATTAATATGGTTTTGAGCTTTTCTTTCTATTGGCAGACGCACCCAAATGATCATTATTAGAGATAAAGAAATCAAAGTGTTACATCTAGAAGATAGAAAGTAAATTAAGAATATATAAAATTTAGGGGATATTTATCTAAATAATTTAAGCTATTTTAATGAAGTAAACCATTCTCAAGCATATTTAATATAAGGAATTTAACAAT